GCTATCTATTATAACTCCTTTCATGCTTCTTGTGGTGAATTAGGAGTGATTTCTAATTACATTTTTGCTTTCATTTTACTTTTGTATATACGTTATTTTGGCTTTCATTTTGGACCCATTACCTGTTGGTGGGCTCGTGTTTACAGGATTTGTGGGCCTCTCTCTCTCTTACTCACTGAGTCTGAACACTTGCCAAACTTTCCTAACTAGATGGCAATGCACGCTCGCTAACTATATCATCTCAGTTGAGCGTCTAAAGCAATTCACGAACCTTCCTTCTGAACCAGCAGCAATTGTAGATGATCACAGGCCACCACATTCGTGGCCTGCCAAAGGGAGGATAGACTTCCAGGACCTCAAGGTGATGAAAACCTTTTGCCAAGTCCTGTATTAAGCACATTCCTAATCAAAATCTTGTTTCTCTCAAATTCTTGTCATGTGCATTGGCTGTTGTTTACTCTCGTCTACTGACTCGCTTTGCCAAAGATAAAGTAGTTTGCAAACATTGTAAATGTTTCTCTTTTTTAAATTCCTTTTATGGCCGCTCATTAACACGTGACTAATATTCTCTGCCATCTTCTAGCTTTCTTTGCTAAGTAAACAATACTTCTGATTTAAACTTGTAAACAGCCTAGCCATGGGAAATCTTGACACGGAACCACCATTATGTTTCTATGTTTGCTATCCATTTTATGATAATTGTGTTATGTATTCATTTGTCTACTTTCTCACAGATAAAGTATCGTCGTGATTCTCCACTAGTTCTTAAAGGGATTACATGTGCATTTGAGGCTTGCAAAAGAGTGGGAGTGGTTGGAAGAACAGGTAGCGGAAAAACAACGCTGATAAGTGCCCTATTTCGTCTGGTTGAACCGGCAAGTGGGAAGATCCTTATAGATGGACTGGACGTTTGCTCCATTGGTCTTAGGGATCTAAGAAATAAGCTTAGCATTATACCCCAAGAGCCAACTCTTTTCAAGGGTACTATAAGGAGTAACTTGGACCCTCTAGGCGTATACAGCGACCATGAGATATGGGAGGTGAGTTTAAAGAACTGCTGGCTTAGATACCAATCCTGTTCTGGAAAAAGATCTCAACATCGTATTCAAGCTGTTTCATTAAATCGAAGAGGATAATTTTCCGTATAATATTTATGCAATTCTGTTGCATATTAATAAAATAAATAGAAACAGACCTTCGATGGTTCGATGTACAAGACCATGATCAGACTCAAGCTTGCAAAGTCAGACTCGCCTTTACATCTTAATCTCCAAGCTAAAATTTAAAAATCTTATGCATTGCCCGAGTGATGTAACTTGTATACTTCTCCAAGCTGCTCTTTCACTCTACACATATATCTAAGGTGACACACAAACACACCACGGTTGAAAACACATGCGCACACACACACCCCCCCCCCCCAGTCAACAATCACTGGAGACCCTTAGAGGTGTTATTTTGGAAAGGACGATCTCGACTCAGAAGATGTGTTTCTGTACAGTCTTAACTGATGAATTTGAATTCATAATATTATAGGAGTGAGTACAATCAGCACCAAAATATGGCTGATTTTCAGTTTTTCAGGATATATTTATGTGTACCAACATTGGACGATGTGTTCATTTGGTATTTAATTGTAGATAGTTGAACTTATCATGTATAACTCTGCTGGTATGATTTGTTTCAGGCCATCGAGAAGTGCCAACTGAAGACCACCATCCAGGGCCTCCCAAACTTGCTCGATTCAACTGGTACGGTAATTTTTCGATGGGATCATGTGGTTCTTTTTTCTTTTTAGCTAGAGAATGCTAGGACCTTGAACTTGAGATTTACCCTTTGGGCCCTTTGCTTTTGATATTGATAGTGAGCGATGAAGGAGGGAATTGGAGTGCAGGGCAGAGGCAGCTCTTCTGCCTTGGAAGGGTCCTTCTAAGAAAGAATAGGATATTGGTTCTTGATGAGGCAACTGCATCCATTGATTCTGCCACTGATGCTGTTCTTCAAAAGGTCATAAGAAAGGAATTCTCAAACTGTACGGTGATAACAGTGGCGCATAGGGTCCCCACTGTCACTGATAGTGATCTCGTCATGGTTCTTTCTTATGGTATGCTCTCTAGTATTCTTTTCCTGTATATTCCACAGGCATACACACACATAGATAGATACATATCAATATTGGTTTAACATGCTTTTAATTATGTGAAGTATTCTGACCTTTACCAAAGATTTGGATGGCAGCTACCATTCCCCTTCAATGCAAATAAAAATTTGTTAATTTACCTATGCAAGTGTAAAAGAACACATTATAAAGTCCAATGAATAGGTCCTTGGTCTGCTTGCTAAGGGTGGCAGAGCCACATTTTGGCATCAGGAGTTCCATTCCTACCCCATTAACATGTCACCAAAAAACATATATACACAAGGCGTAAGCACACACTTTCGCCCAAAAAATGTTAGCCAGTCAGATGAGTTATTAGAACTCACAACATCCATGTATTATATTACTTCGGAGAGTGGGCACCTCAAATTATGAAACAGACTAAGTCCTATAGTCACCCCAAAATGGTTCATTCATGAAAACTGTATGATCATGGTTGAATTGGATTGGCCTGTTCCCCAGTTTTCACTTGTTATCTACTTAGTTTTTCAGAATAAACTGATTTTTACTTGAGCATCCAATTTGATGCATATTGTGTTGAATTGGTGGGCCTCATCCAGTTTTTATGACATTAATTTGGTCATCATAGTAATGTTCTTACACAAATATAGCCACTCCCTATTCTATTCAAGGGACGCATTTTATTGATTTATTTGTTAAGAGTTTTTGGGGTGAATTTCTTGCATGAAAATGAGTCAAATTTTGGCAGTAACAAAAAGCTTTAATCTGTCATTCATTTGAAATATACTCAAAAGTGTCTAAATTTAGCTGGAAATGCGGGTTCGATCAAATTTAGTGGAAATTCATTTAAATTTTTGGATTGAAATATCTCTTCCTAAATTGGAGGTAGAATTATTGGTAGGGTTTCCCCAGTTTCCCACAACACAGCCTACCAATATTTTCAGAAATTTGGAACCTTGAGCTTGCTTTCAAAAGTACGATCATGTACGAAATAGAGCTGTCAACAAGCCCAAGAAAAATGTTTTTTTTTTTTCAAAATAAGTTGGGGTAGATTTGTTATTTTCCTTTTTCTTTTATTTTAAATTTTATGGTTTCTCTATCTGCATAAAACTATTATGCTTGGTTGATAAGGACGACATAAACCCAGGTTTTTATAACTAAGTTTTGCATGACTTGTGTTGACAGGTAAGCTCTTGGAATATGATAAGCCGTCAAGACTCATGGAAACCAACTCTTCCTTTGCCAAGCTTGTGGCTGAATACTGGGCCAATTGTAATACAACCACCCATTAGAGAGAGAGTAGTATGTGAACCATGAGAGAGAGAGAGAGAGAGAGAGAGAGAGAGAGAGAGAGAGAGAGAGAGTGTAGTAGTTGGTGGAGGAGAGAGGAGGAGGAG